CCCCAAAACCCCAAAACCCCAAAACCCCGCAAAGCAGAAATAGAAATGGTTCGATGAATATTTATTTGAAATGCAACCATTAATGATATTAACTTTCCATTTAAATCTATCTATCTGAGCTGATATGCGAGACGCATTCTCTTTTGGACTTTGGTTAATCAAGCAATATATTTGTAGAATCTTCTGTCATCCTGGTCTCTCTCGAGGTACTCTCTGTCGATGAGTGACTCAATTCTCTTCTTAATCATGGTAATGTCGGGGTTGAATTTCTGACTCAAGATCTTAGTTGACTCTGAAATGAGTGCGTTATGTTCAATTCTTCTTCTAGTTTTCATGACCTTGACAATAGTGGCTTCAACCATGTGCCTTCTGTCCTCATCCACTTTTTCAGCAACGTCTGCTTTCTCCTGGGCTCTGTTTTCCTTTGGCTGAGCAACTGGAAGTCTTATCTTGTGCATATTTTGCTTGAAGCCAGGGTTGAGGCTGTACTAATCCATTGGATTGAACTCCTTGGCATCTGGCACTTTCTTTAAAATCTTAATGCCAATCAAGGGAATCAGGTTGCACTTCAAGTCCATCTCGGTAATATTGGTCTTCTCTATGATTTGCTAGTATGATACACTTTGGAACTGGTTGAAAAGCATCAGAATGCAAGTCTAGAAAGTTGTTGCGTGCAGTTCATGCTTGGAGTTTGAGTCACCAAGAGTCGCCTTTATTTCTGCATAAGCAAGACTTGGTTTCCAATGAAGAAGTCTGCCAGTATGTTTATTATTATAGAATTTGTTGAAACTTGAAATGCAAGTCTAAATCTCTCTTGGCAAAATGATTTAGTTGATGTTATCTTTAGACTCATTTGGCCAGTTTCCAGTGGTCAATACCTTGACATTGAGGTCAATTTACAATTACTTGGACTGCTGAGTGCCTCTGAATTCGAGCATGGTTTCCTCACTCATTTTAATATCCTTAAACATCACTTCTAGTTTTTGAGTAAACTAAAACCCACACTCTTCCTTCAACTTGAGGACCAGCAATTTCTCTGAGTCTTCAGAAGCAGATCTCTGATCAAGCAGTCTCTTGGCTAGGCTGTTCTTGTAGAAGCCTTCGAATATGTCCTTGTCCTGCAAGTAGCGGAAGATTTGAATAACTTTGTCGAGTCTCTCGTTGATTTCTCCCTCACTCATGCCTTTGAAGTCTTTTTTGAATTAGTCATCTAGGTAGTAAACTAGACTCATAGCAGTTCTCTCGCTCTAGTTCACAAAGGACTCGAAAGCATTCTTGATTGTCAAGTCAATTGCAGGGTCCTTGTTGAAACTCTTGACGAACATGTTCATCATCTTATCTCTCAGCTCAATGACCTTCGCCACAAATTAATCATGCTTCAAAGATTCATCAGACACCAATTTATTTCCCTCGTTTATAATATATTGAGCCAACTGTTTGGTCAGGGCTGAGTTTGCATTTTAGATCTTAGAGAATAGTTCATGCATCAGAGCGATCTCGTTGTACTTTTCGTTCTTAATCATGTGGATCAGACCGGACTAATCCATATTGATTAGAGTCAGAGCGTGCACCTCGATGTATTCTCTTAAGAAAGTCTGTATCAGAATCTTCTCAGAACTTGAATCTAGGTAATTCAGCACTCGCTCGAGTTCCTCTCTAAGTCTCATGTTGGCTTTCTGGAGAAAAGCAAAGCACGAGTGAGAAGTGATCAGCTGGTTACTCTCCACCTTGTAGTAGTTGATCGTCTCATTGATGAATACCTTTTCAAATTCGTTCTCGTAGATCTTCTTTGAAGATATGCCAACTTCGACTAGCATCTGAATCACTTGCCTCAGTTGAGTAATCTCCACTATCCCGCCGTCACGCTCTCTCTTTATTTCCTGAATAATTTTCTGAATCAGCTTTAATTTGATCTCTTGGTTAAGTACTACATATTTCTAGAAACATTGAGTTTGAAGGTGCTCTACACTCTGGAGTTTGACTTTGGGCACATAGTTACGATCCATATACATAAGGATGTCCTTGATCATAACTATTGAGAGTTTAATGTCCTTCCAAATCTCATTGATTCTCCTGATCAGATCGTCCTCTCCGCATCTGTTCAGTCGCTCAACGATTGGCTACAGTAACTCAATGGTAGTATTTCTAACTCCCTAGTACAAAATATCTCCATGTTTGTGCAAAACTAGATTGTAAGCTGTCCTGTAGAGTTCCTCATAACTTAGAGTACTTGCCTCCTTAGCGTAAATCTTGTGAATTGCCTCTCTTATAGTGTTCCAATTCTAGTGGGCTTGGTCAGATGACATGATTGTGTCTCTGATTTTGTCACTGCGGATGACATGCTTATTCTGTGGGGGATTCGACATTTAAATTCGTTTATAAATCTTCTACTCAATTATAATTAATCCTATCGACTTTATTTTTACTCTATACTCTCAGGGGTTTTGGGGTTTTGGGGTTTTGGGGTTTTGGGG